AGGAATAAAACTTAAGTTTTTCTTGGTAGTAATTCTTCTGGGGCTGTTTACTCGCTTGATATTTTTTCTCTTTTCATTCAAACTTCATGCAAATATAGGCAAGGCTTCTAGCCCTTCCAACTACTTTATTCTTCTGCTTTTAAGTTTCTAGTTGGGAAAACTGAAAATAAATGTGGTAGCTCACAAAAAAGCATTATACAAAAAGCATTCATAGATTTTATAGTTAGAAATACATGACATATATAAGATGATAGTAACTTTTAAGTGGAATCCAAGCCAATAACAGAGCAAGACAGAAATTAATTGTTCATGGGAAATACATTTGAATAAACACGGACTGCTGTGTCAGAATATGCTGGCGAGGTTATTCCAAACCCTGTGACACAGTAAAATCCCTGCAGCAGGATAGCCAATACTTGCAACAATTTTTCCTATTTAATTTAGCAACAAATGTAAACACTTGGGTTTAAAAATATATAATAAATTTTTAAGCCTATTAAATACTTGGACTTGGTCATACTTTGCACAATGGATGTTAACAGGCAATGTGTGAAAAAGCATCTCCTTTACTCTATGTTACAGCCTTTCAGCTTAATGAAAATTCCGTTGGCTTGGAGCTGCAAGAAATAATGAAGTACCTTTCCCTTTACGTTCCTTTCACTGTTCAACATTTTGCATCTTTCTTTGATGTTCTTGCTTTCTTTCTGGAGACGATCAATCTTTTTAGTCTTTCCTCAGAAGGAAACATCTCCATGCCCCTCTCTCTCTAACCTGGCAGTGGCAAATCTGTATCTTCTTTTCTTGGATAATTCCTGACTGTTTCACTGAGTTTCAGTTGGTTCCTAAGCCTCAGAGTGCCTCTGATAAGCTATGGAAGCATGTAATTGGGGATGGATGACAGGAAATCACAGGGATAAAAGCAGAAAATAAAAAGAGGGAGAGGGGAACGGAATCTCAGCACTTTCCATAGTGACGAGATGGCTAACTCATGGAAGGCATTTCAAGGAACTGTGCCCTCAAGTCAGCCCACGAACCACTGAAAACAAACTGAGAATATATTTAACTCTTTTTGTTCCTTTATTTAGTATTGAAACTTTTTAATTTCCGAACAAATTCATTGTATAGTGTTTGATAGCATGGTTTGCATTTAAAAACTGCATCTCACAGTTCAAGCAAATGAATGAACACAATGGTTTATTTCTTAAGGGCAAAAATGGGTACAAGACATTTTGAATTAGCCAAACAAGATTTCTGAAAGGAAAATTTAAGTGTTTCACTAAAGATTTGAGACTAGATTTGAGTCACAATTTTTATGTAATGCTAGCCAACAAACAGAGAAAAATTAATTACCTATAAATACAGTAAAGCACTTGTAAAAACTAAAATTTAAACCCAACCACACTGCCTAGATAAATGAAAGCACAGGAATTCTGATGTCATCCTTTGACAGCTATGGAAAAAGTCTGAATTCAGCAGCAAGTTTAGGTGCATGTTCCAGGACGGGGACTTCAGCATGTAGATAATCTGGTGTGGACAGCTTACTTGCTCTGTACATTTTTGCTCACGTAACAAATCACAGCTTGTTACATAGGACGGTAACACCTTAATTTAAACACCACTTACTTGATCTCTTCCTGATTTGTGAGATGTCATGTGGCGGTCGAGCTGTGTTCTGTATGCAAACGTGTAACTGCACAAGGAGCAACTAAAGTTATCTTCATTTTTTTCATGGCGATATTTAATGTGTTCCTTCAGAGAGGTAAAACGCTTGTACCCTCGATCACAATATGGGCAAGTAAGCAGCTGGGAAAATGCATCGGGCGTTCCTACACAGGAAAGACAATACACCATATTTAAACAAATGCAAGCTCCAAACTTGTTAATATCAACAAACAGATGTAGATCTGGTTAGCTCAATCACAGACAAGCCTCAAATCCTGTTTACAAATGTAAGTCTATCACTGAAACATTTTTAATGGTCATCCTGTTTTCAGCTCCTAAGGAATAAACAATATTTGCAAACTGTAGAAAGTATTTTTTTCTTTCTCTTTACCTAACAAGTAAGTGAAAAAAGAACTGAAAAAAAAATTATTAGAAACGTGGTTTATAATTCTTATACCTGGACCTGTTGAAGCGGGTCCAGAGGAGGCCACAAAATGATCAGAAGGCTGGAACACCTCTCCTGTGAGGAAAGGCTGAGAGCATTGGGGCTGTTCAGCCTGGAGAAGAGAAGGCTCCGGGGAGACCTTATTGTGGCCTTTCAGTACTTAAAGGGGGCCTACAGGAAAGACTGGGACAACCTTCTTAGCAGGGCCAGTTGTGATAGGACAAGGAGTAATGGCTTTAACTAAGGGAGGGTAGATTCAGAGTGGATACAAGGAAGAAATTTTTTACCATAACGGTGGTGAAACACTGGCACAGGTTGCCCAGAGAGGTGGTGGATGCCCCATCCCTGGAAACGTTCAAGGCCAGATTGGACAGGGCTCTGAGCAACCTGGTCTGGTTGAAGCTGTCCCTGCTCACTGCAGGAGGGTTGGGCTAGATGACCTTGAAAGGTCCCTTCCAACCCAAAGCATTCTATGATTCTATGACACACAGACATGTACCTGTCAGCAGGACATACTGCCTGCAGGACAGAAAGGAGAGAAAACATACTCTCTGAGTGACAGAAAAGAGAGAGATCAAATGTGAGGCCATAAATATGATTCTAATGTGATCTATGGAATTCTGCTGTCTTTCACAAAGTTACTTGTGTATCAGTACAGGACAAAGTGAAATCAAACTGCAGCTGAATATTAATTTCACAAGTCTATTCCTGAGAATTTACCACTTACGAAGTTTTAACTCCCTCTCTTCTTATCAGCATATATTTATCCCCTGTGTACAGTAACTTATTCTATCCTAAAAAAAAAAAAAATTTAAAGGATTTGGAATAAATTTTTCTTTATAGATTGATAAAAGTGTGTTTAAATGAACGTAGGATTTGTTGTATTTGATCAAACTATGAATTTATAAGGTGTGACCCTCCAATGACCACGCTACTCTTCCATGCTTCAAGGGAAATGGGAAGCATATTTTGCAAGGATGCACCTATCCACTGTGCCGAGTGAGAGCAGGAGAGGAAGGTGGATGGTCTTTACTGATTATCATTTTATGCTCTGAAGCACAAAGGGCAAGTTTCTACGCACTGTCATTTTAAGTTGCAGAACTATAAGCATTATTAATACTCATAAAATTAATCAGTACTTTAGAAAGTACTTCTGAATTCTTTACCTTCATGACCTCTTCCAGCAGTTATCACCATAGATTGATTATATGGTCTATAAAAGTAGCAACTTGTTCTGTTTGTGTGGAATTCACTGACTTCATTTTCACTGAACATGCCATTGTTCTTGCAACAGTGGAAAAGGAAGGCTCAGACCAGTTTTCACTATTACTAAAAACACCACCTTCTCTGTCACATAGGTTCTTTTACACTTGTTATCGTAACAGGCAAGGTAACCCCTGTATTGCACCAGCTTTTAAGTTGTTCTACCCCATTCTGCTTTTCCTGGATTAGCCGGGCTGTCCAAAAATGAACCAGTCCCCACATGTGCAGTCACACTCTGCTTCCCTTCAATTCTCTTTCTTCCACCTACAATTCAATTCACCTGACATAAGGAATACTCCATTTCAGCACAAATGCAACGTTGGAAGCACATTACATTAATTCTGTTTCCATTGGAGCAAATGGCAAAACAGCAACGGTTTCCCAAATGCCACTAAAGGCTCTCAGTCTCTGTCACTCCTCTTGTCCAGTCCCCCAGTTTGGAAGCATGGATCTTCAGCAAATATCACTATAACTTTTGCATTTTCTGTTCCAAATGATTAAAACACTAAACATTAATGTTCAGCATTGTGGTTTTCATCATAATCCCTTGTGAACTTACTGGGCTATGTCCAATTTAAATTATTAAAACAAATGTGTATTTTTAATGATTACATGGAAATCACATTGCAAGCCTATAAAACTAACCTGACAATCTGCAGCACTGCAACCACCGATTAACATCTTTAATTAAACTGTAATTTTTAAGACTTTACTGTTGAGCATACATCTTGACTTTGCAAAACTTGTAAACCACAAAATACTAGTAATTCAGGTCCTATTTCTGTATATAATTAGGTATGCACACAGTTTACATTTCTCAAATATTTTAATTTACTTGTTTTTTTGCTAAAATCTCTAATAACATGAAATCTCTGAAAGAGCAGAACAAAATTGTTAGTATTGCCCCTTTCATTGATCTTCCTTAGACACCAGCACAGTAATACAGCTACCAGGACATTTTTTGTTCAATTATGTACATTTTTTTAAATGACTGGAATACAACAACTCCTGGTACTTTCTGTAGTGTTACTTTCTTTTGGGAATCTTAAATACTCTAATAAAGGAACACAATCTGGTTGAAACTGCAGTTTTCACAGGTTATGAAAGCAGAACACTTCAGAAAGCAGCGCAGAATGCAAAAACAATCTGAACAGGTTTTTCCTTCAAACATTTCAGGATGCAGATGCCTTCAGTGTTTCATGATAAAGAAATGAACAAAGTATGACTTGTCATCTCACTCAGAAGAATCTTTCTGCTTTCGTTATGAAATAATATTTTCAAAGTCTATTGCAAAGTCCATATTTCTTAATGGGCTTCCATGAAGAAAAATAACAATGGGTCATTATTTTATCCCACATAAACATTTTTGTATAAACAATGTTTCTTTTTTCTACACTGCTGTCTTTTCAGGAAAAAATCCTAAACCTGTCAGACTTGCTACTTGATAAAAGAACTTCTAGCTAATAGATTATTTTGGGGGTTTTGTTTAGAAATACATTTTAAAAAAACGTTGTAACTCATCCTGCATTATTTTTACATGAAACTACACTCTCTTGCTTCAGTCCCATTATAATTAATATATGTGTGTTCTGTTCTTTCATACAATGTTACTGAATAGCTTTATGAGAGCTTGAATTTTTGTTTCTAGTTATTGGAGGTTATCATTTAGGTACCCACAAAACCAAACCCCAGTGCACGTCTTGTTTCACAAAATCTAGCAGTAATGTTTTTTGCATGATGATTCCATCCTCTTGTAATTATTTAACTAGGATTTTTTTTTTCCTAAAGCTACATGTGTATGCATTGTTGTCTTCTGCAATACAACAGAACTTTTAGGCCAAGTAGTTTGTACAATTTATTTTGTAGGAACTGAACTGGTGGCATATTTACCATTTTCATCCTGACCACTAGCTTCTGGCGTGCCTTGTCTCTGGTCCTCCTCAGGTGCTTCAGGGTAAATGACAGCTGTATCTTCTTGTTGAAGAAATTCTTCAACATTAGGGTCATGGTTTTGCTCATTTTCTGCATCAGAATCACATTCATCTTCTTTTACTGTGAGTGAAAAACAAGATACGAAATGACAAGTTTAAAAAGAACATAAATGAGATTCAGTAATTCAAATCGCCAAATCTCTCTCTATCCAAGGATTTCAAAACTCTTTACAAATACTAGTACAGGTCAACCTCTTGATGATGCAGGCATATGCCAAGTTTTAAAACAGAGAAACAGTGGCATAATTACATTTCAAAAAACCACTAAAATCGCAGTTTGCCTCTTCAACGCAGTGCATTTTGTATCATTTTAGATTTAGCTGTTCCCCTCAACTTCCCCCAAAATCTTAAATGCAACATTAATTATGATTTAACCTTTGTAGTTTGAAGGCCAGCTTAATATATTGACTCGTATGTTTGCAAAAGTAAATTCATTAACTTCAAGACATAATTCTTAATGTTATTTAAAACCTGTTCATTAGCGCAAGCCAGAAGGTATTGAAACTCTGAATAACAAACTGGCTAGCTAAAATGCAGCAAACTTGAACTTTGAGGGGCTTCTTCTCCAGTGCTGGAAATGTCTTGTCAAAAAGGGTTCAGATCCAGTTAACATCCTTTAACACTTAAGAAAATAATCAATGATCAACTGTACTTCAAAGTTCACAAATAATAAATTAAATATTTTACTTAATGTTTGTACGATAAGTATTTGCTATCAAGTGTTTACCTAAATACATTGTTCATAAAGTTTACTGCTACGATGGTGGAACATTCTGTGAGAGCTCTGCCTGTGGCACAGAAAACCATGACAGATCTCCTCCCCTATAAATAATATGAGCTATATTTTTAATAGGAAGGAGAAGTTTTACAATTCATCTCTCAGTGTGAAGTCACATACTCAATTTATGATTTGACACAAACTTTTTATGACATGAGACAGTCTTTCTCACATATAGGCTGTAATGTAATAACAATAATAACATAGTTCCTCGTACTTGTTCGGGAACGCCTGACTTCATAGCAGCTAAAAAGAATGTGTGACTCTACAGTTTTAAACATATCAATATTTAGGGTTGGTTTTTCTTTTTTAAATAAGGCTTACCCTGATAATATCTAACCATTCAGTGTTAAGGGTATTAAAAAAAAATGTGCAAAAAACTCTTAAAAAGCTGGTTATATGTTAAATTTTTTGTGAACCAGAGAAACAACAAAGCACCTCTTTCTGTTTGATTCTGAAACTGAAGGACACATTTTATTTTGCCTTCTGTGTAATCAGTACAGAGGAGCTGATAAGAAGGTACAGTATTAGCTGCAGTTTATTTTTGTATATTCATTATTAGTTTAAAATACTATCTATTGACCTGTAGTTGTATTCTATACAACTACACATAAGCTCAGCGCTACTCCTTGTTTCGCTCTCGCTCCCAGGGTCGTTAGCAGACGTGGCGCTGTGTGGTGTGGCGGCCAGCCCTCGTGAGAGAGGACCGCTCTGCGCCATGGGGCACCTCCACCGCTGGGCCCGGGACACCCCAAGGGAGCCCGGGCTGGTCTTCCTCAGCTAAAGCACTCTTTACAAGTTAAGACTTCTAGTGCAGAAGAGCAAAGCAGTTTATAAAGAGAGGCTGGAGAACGTCAAAGATTTCAGAAGGATGCTCACCTAGCCAAAATTCAACAGCACTTTATGAATAAGGGACTCAGATTAACAAAGAACTACCTGTACATCCAACTTCATCTGTCTGAGCTTCAGGCCCCAGGATTTCCTTTGTTTCTTTTCCAGCTGAAATAGTACGTCACAAAAAGAAGAATGAATATTTAAAAAAAAACCCAGAGCAACAAAAAAAAAGCCACACACCATTTCCATATTGTTTAGAAGAATTGCATTTCAACACAATGTTCTTTCAAAAATATAGATTGCACCTCATTTCAGCAGTGTGTAATCAGTTGAATGACAAAGATATTCATGGTTAAAGAAAAAATCTTAAAAGGAAGCAATACTAAAGACTAACCATTATTTGAAGGAAGGTAAAGACAGGGAGGGTGTGTGTCTCCAGCAAATACAGTGTCAGCTATTTAAGTAGCCCTATCTACAAATGCAGCTATCAGATACACTGGAATATTATTACTGGAAATCAGAGTATCACAAAACAAACACATTTACATTATTTTCTCTGATTAGCAGTTTTCAGAAATGATTGATAATTTGCTGGTAATGTCTGCAAACAGCTCCCTAATGTGTTCTCTTTCTTGTAAATTGTCTGGAAACCACTTACAGGCTGCGATCACTTAAACAAGCAAGGATTTCAAACACATGCTCTCCCCTTCAGGTGAAATCCCTCATGTATCAATTCCAGCATCCAGTAGAAAGGAGCCTGCAGGAACCAGATGTCCACAGAACTAACCCTGTGGATCCCACCTGCCTCTGAAGCTCCACCAGCTCCTGCCGAGCTGCAGCATTCAAGGATGTGACATGGAAGTTTTACCTCACTACAGGCTGGTGGTTCAAATCAATAAATGGTCCAATCCACTCCTAATTTATGTTCCTTGGGTAGCCTGGACCGGGAAGTTCCTACTGGAAAGGCCACTGCTGCCATTTCTGTCAGTAACTGGCTTACAGCAGGAGCGCGTAGGAAAGCTATGTTGGTTGTCTTGCTCCTGTATCAGTAGCATGCTAGGATAATATATGTAAAATTAAAGCGTTATTTCATAGTTCTGTTATGGAAACCTTAGCTGCTTCAGAGCTACACTGCAACAAAAGACTCTTACATGGTACTGGAGGTCAGACTACACAACTGCTACGATCTGAAATGACAACTGTCATACGTTGGTTTACCTCACTTCATTCTACTTCGGTGCAGGGCAAAATCCTTTGATCTGGCTAGTCAAAACCCCAGAACATTCCGTCTTTTTAATTACAGGAGAAACCAATTTCTCCTTTATATGGAAGATGATAAATTCTAGGACAACTTTAAGTTTTCAGATAAATGGCTTCCTCAAAGGAAAAGACTGTTAATTCTGTCTACCTTGATAAAATCCCACAAACCCAAAATATGTGTAAGCTATATCTGCAGATAGTCACAAACAAGAAATTCGGTTAAAAGGAAACTGCAACACTTAAATCTTACTTTAATTGCCATCTAAAAACCCCTCCAAAACAGCCCATATTTTATTGGTCAATACTGGATTGTGAACTAATTATATTTTTGGCTCATGACACCAAAGACTTGGTTCAGAATTTGTAAGATGGATGACTGTATGCAATGCAAATTTAAATCCAAAATCTAATTTCTGAAAAACAGTCATGATGCAAACCCACTATTTTCCTTTAAAAAGGGTTTGTGATTTTTTTCCATTAGGAAATAGGCTTTGTGGAAGAGGAGGAATATCACTAAGTTATTACTCATAGAGATTTAAATTATAGTGTAGCAAATTCCACTGGCGTCAGTACAAATAAAAGCTATGCTTCCCAAGGGAATGTCAAGGAACTTATGGCATTATAGATTAATCTCAGTGAAGTTAAAAACCCTCTCAATTCTAATAATCATACCCTCTGTTTGGTACTGTCTCTTCCCAATATCTGAAAGTGGTGTATAAGACAGGGAGGAGTCCTTTCCCACAGGGGGTGATCTTCCTTAATGCTGTAGGAATAATTATTTGAAAAAATTTAAGTAGAGCTCCATCTTTATAGCTATGTACGGTCCACAGAGGAAGGCAACTTTGCAGTTGTGCCCTCAGAAGCCCATTTACTGTGCTGCAAACACAGCTGCTGAGAAGCCATGGAAAGGGATGTGACGATGGGGAACAGAGCTTAAGACACTGTTCCACCAAGTAGAAGTCACAGCTCTGAATTCTAGAAGAAATCTGAGCTACCTGCTGAATGACTGCTTAAACACAGGTCTCCAGAAATAGCATCTGGGGCATGAATATCCATCTTGGCATTACATCTGGACATACTATGTAATTGTAAGACATCTTCTTGGACTTCTGCATCCCATCATTGCTTATGAGAAGCTGCTTGGAGATATTGTGGGACTTCCTAGGGTTAAATGCTAATGATTTTCAGATCAGAGGCAACAGTGTGTACTAGCAGTGAACATGTATGACACAATCACTGTGTCACAGGCTCACTGCAAAGATCTCTGCATGGGTAAGATAACTGATCAAATTTAAACCACTAGCGGAATGGAAATTTTGGTTGTAGGCAGAAAGACAAACTTCACTAAAATTTCCACCACAGTCTTATCTTGAGAAGGGAATAAATTCCAAAGCTCATCAAAAGAGTTTCTAATTTAAATTCTTTAGAGCTAGCTTTCTGATATGCATGTAGCAAGTGCTATTTACAGCTTACAGTATTGCCTGGTTGTTTGCTTCTATGAGAAAAAACTTGATCAAAAAGATGCCACACTTTTTTAGGCTTCCTCCCAAATGAAATTAAGACAAAATAGCACAGCAACCTTCCTCAGCAACCCACCACACTGAAAGAACACAATCCATCTTACAGCTCCTAGGCTCAACCTAAAATTTTATGGGTTAAAGGAATTTTTGAGTTGCAGGAAGAGCTTAAACATAAACCATAACTTCACTAATTTTTAAAGGTTATTTCAAGGTCTGGACAATTTTTTAAGATTTCCAATTTTTCAAAGATATCTGAATTCCAGGTCTGAGACATCCGGATTTGCTAAATACTTCTAATATATCATAATGCTTTTTAAGTGTGTTAATATAAGAAGTCAGTAAGTTCAACCTTTGCTTTTATAAAAAAAAAATGGTACTATAGGTTTTACTTCATACTAAAGCAAAAAAAAGATCATATTACAGAATCATTGCACACATGAACTCTGGCACACTGCCGACAACTTGTGCAGGATACACGTGGTTCACTTTTTCAAACCCGTATGACTGTTTCAGTTAAACCTCTTGAGATACACACCTTATATTTAAAACACCTGTTGTGAAGGTCTTTTAGAAATTCAGTTAGAATGACTGGAAACGGAAGGAAACTAATCTGATAAAGAAATGTTACGTGTGTTGTTTCTATTCTTGGGCATTCGTGAACAGAATAAATATGTAAAAAACTCATTCTGTTAAGTCCAGCTAAATCCTGGAAATTTCAATACTACTTTACTGATGAAATACAATTTACTAAAACTGCTGTAGTGTATGTTTTCTAAAAATAATCACCAGTCCTGAAGATAGTATTAGTGCTGCACGGACACCTATCCCCATACTTCTCCCTGTACGAAAGAGATCATGTATTCAGTACCCCACTCTTCAGAGTTCTAATGTTCAACCAAGACTGATAATATGATTTTCAGCTCACACCTTTCCTTCTAGGAAAGCTATAAAAAAATAAATAATACTTTGCCATCACAAAAAAAAACTCCATAAAACCTAATGTAGCCTTCATTCTTCTCATGTAGTCATTGCCAGAAATACAAACAATTTATTTAAAAAAAACCCCTTACTATCCAATAAAAACCCCTCCAGACTGTTATAAAAGAGGCTTCATAATACATAATTTTTATAGAAGAAATTTATGGTAGTTTGAGCAAGCCTGTATAGCAATTGTTTAATCTTTTGTCTGTCTAAACACTGATGAAAACCTGTCTTCGTCAGCAACGACCAAGGCAGAGAAAACATTGCCCACATTGTGATTCTACAGTCACAGCAGAATTGGTTCAAATGCTTCATTCTAACAAACAGATTATAAAATGTTAAAAATGGTACAAGTCAAAAAAGTTGCCATCACATGTCTAGAGCTCTGGAAAGCCCCAGAAGGTTGTCTGAGGCAAGACGCTGTGTCATGACTACCTGTAGGTCCATCTCCAGGCCACGGCCAGTCCAAGGGGTCTCGACCCAGCACCTCTGTGAGCCAGTGCTCTTCTTCACTCCCTGTTCTGGGCTTCCTACACCTATACTTGAAGGGTTCAAGAAACAGTCTACATACAGCCCTTTTTTATGTAACTGCAATTCCGGATAAATACAGCCTGCAGCAGAGCAAAGATATTATAGGAGAACTAAGAAAACTACTTACCTAATAATTTAGCTCCAAAATACTCATTTCCCTGCACAGCATACCTTGGCAATAGCAGCTACGTAAAAACAGGCTGAGCTGATGCTATTCTTTGAACTCTCAGCTGCTCTCAGCTGGATTGCAGTGAGGAACCATATGACTGCTTTCTGTTTGTTTAGATGTAAGGTCATGCAATTTGTGTTAAACCACCAATTTTAACAAGGCGGATGGTAAAGAATTGCGGCTGGACTTCAGACACAAAGAGGGATATGCTGGAAAAAAATTCTGTATCTTTCAGGGGATTAAGGCCAAACTCCGCAATAAATTCTACTAATTTATGTATTTATCCCAATCTGGCTCAAACGTAAGCATGCTGTGTGGTGTTATGAAACTCAGCATCTGATTCCACAGTAAAAAAGGCCCATTCCCCAATTGCTTCAAATTTTCAGCTTCTAAAGCTGCTGCATAATATGTACAATATTTACCTCCTTCTAGTGTTTTCAAAATACAGATTCATTCCGAGTAAGATAGCCAATTCTAAAACTGATAATCTAAAAATTATTTTTTCTGGCTATATTCTGCAAAGGAAAAGGTGTAAGCAGCTCACAGGCAGAAATTTACATCTGAATATTATTTTGTTTCATGTTGTTGGCTTACTGCTTACTCCCCAAGCTGCACAAACCCTGAACCTTACTGGGAGCTAAGGTAGAGCCTCGCCATGCAAAAAGACTTGGAAAAACTAAAAGCAAGTAACTAGTCTCTGATCACCCTTGAGAATGCTGTGTCCACAGATTTGAAGCTCCTGTTTAACAATGCAAGTGGAATGAATGCACCTCCGAATCTACCTCAAATATTAAATAAAGAACATAAAACATATCACAATAAATATGTTAGAAAACCTCTTTTTGACTGTGATTATTACATTACTTCAGTAACAAATCGACCAAAAAACATTCTACGAAATCTTTTTAGAAACCTCTCTCTGCACAGCATCATCAGGGAAAAAGAACATACCTTCATCTTCCCAGCAACTGTTCGTACTCCCTTCTCTTTCACTGTTTTCTGGTAATACTGCATGGTCTGTTGGCAAGTCATCTTCGGGCACACTAGCATCACAGTCTGCGGCATCAGTTACACTTTCTTCTTCCACTATGTGCAATTTATCTTCATCATCTGAATCTGAGTTTGCTTCTACCACGTTATTATAGTTGGTGACTGTGAACAGACAAAAAGCAAAACTCTGGTCAATATACTCTTAATTTAAAGCATGGAGGTCCAAAGCTTTCAGTACTGTTCCAGATGCTATATCTGAGGCACCTCTGTGGAGTCACGTCATTATTTCTTCTTTTCATATGGGGATGGCAGTGGCTTGTGAGCAACCTGGACACAATGGAAGCACACAAGGAGACATCTGACAGCTTCTGGGCTTCCACCACTGCTAGGAACCATGGTACCTCTCACTTCTGCACACCCAGAGTAAGGCTGCACAATAAAAGGCAGCGGACAACTCCAGAGTTGTCTTCTGGGGCACAATGAAGCATTAGACTTCCAACTGGATCACTCCATATTGGATACCTGTATTACTGTATGTTTCCTTTAAGAATATTATGGCCTGGTCAACAGTCTGTGAAACACTAAATACTGATCAGCAACATTTTGTTACAGACAGAGGTGTGTGATGAGGAGAGGCTGTATGTATATAGCAATCAGTGGGGTACAGCAGGAAGAAAACTGCAGGGAAGCAACTGGCACCGAAGATCAAGTGATCTTCGCTCTGGAGAAGGCAGCTCCATCGCTCTTGCCCGGTCCCATGGAGCAAGCCCTTGTCGGCAGCTATGCACAGCAGCTCTGCTCACCCAGCCCATCTTTTCGCCGGCTCTTCCTGCAACTGATGCCACCCCCATGCTCCGGGTATCCAAATCAAGGAGCAGGAAATGGGAACAATAAGGAGATTTGATTCAGAAGGGCTAAAGTACTCCTGATCCAAGTGAAAACGCTCTTGCATTTACACTCAAAGATCACACTAAAGACTCCACAGCATGAATATGAAAGGAAAAGTCTCAGAGGTAGCTTAGAGAAGAAATCTTGCATCGTATTTTCCCCAGCTGCCACGCAAAGGTAATAACTCTACTTTTTCAGCCTGGAGAACATATTGGGAGAGTCTTGTGGACAAAGCACTACATGATGATATATACGTTTCTGTCCTATGGGAGCAGATTATTATTATTATAGTCTTCATTTGTAAGCACAAAAGATCAGTTATGGCCATTTCAATTTAAACTGTATGGATTACGCATTAAGAAAAAAATTACTTTCACAATCTGTTGAAATGTCTTGTTACTCACACTGAAGTTAAACTATTAAACATTTATATCTATATGTGTATTACTTCTTCACTGCCAAGTTTAAAGTTCTTACTGAAATGCTTCAAAACACAGTTTAAGAAAGAAAATAAATTTATCGATGAATAAACTAACAAGACATGTCTTGGCTGCAGTACTCCTTCAGTGGTTATCCGAATTATACCTGGGAGGCACATAATCACACTACTTGACGATACCTGCATCCCATCACTGTTAGCACATGAGAAGCCAGACTGATTCTTTCATGTGAAATCCTGCCTACTAAGTTAGACAAATAGCAAACTAGACTCCTGCTCTTCTGAAGTTAGCTTACTTTTTTTTTAAAGTAGATATTCTAGCCATTTAAAAATGTGTTTAATCAGGGAAATGAGTAACATTATGAACCGATCAGGCTACTATCTCATTTCCTTCCAATTCAGGAGAAAAATGTCTCATCCAGAACACGCATAAGCATGACAAAAGAGCCTTTTGAATTTAAAACAAACATTTCATATTTCCATGTTTCACACACAGTGTTATTTGAAAAATGTAGTAATACCCCACTATTCATGGTATTGACCTCCTCTAAGGCAACAAATCTAGGCATATTGCCTAAATACTAGTATCTGGTGCACTTCAATTGATAAATTGATATTCACTTTATATTCAGTAACTGATTTTGCAAAGTAAAATAGCTACTGTAAGGGATGCTAATGTTGTGTGAAAGAGAAGACACACATGTATTCCCTCACCAAAGCAGAAGAGAGTTATGTATTTATTTGCCTGAGAAATGGTAAATGCAGCTTTAAAAAAAGTGTAAGAACAGACACAAACCCAAAGGAAGTGGAAAAATTATTTTAGCCTGTTGTCTTAACTGAGTTTTACGATGATGCTTAGATGTAGAGGGTTATTAATATAAAACATCAACACATTTACCTTTGCCACACAGAAGGGAGATCAATAAGATTAAAAAATTTATAGGCATAAGTTCAGATATCAGTAATGTAGATAATGAATACTCAATTTTTTAAAAGTATCCTGTTTAGTTTGGGAAGTTAATTGGAATCTCTTACATTAAATTTAGAGCGGTTTTTATGGAAAACAAAAATATACGCAGAAAGTTTGTCCTGAAGAATTACACTTCTGGAGAAAAAATGTCTTTTCCTCATTGTATATTTTTTGATTTTAAATATAAACTATTCATTATGGCTCTATTTACCTTGAAACATTTTCATACATTCTCACTGCACTCAGTCCTGTGCTCCCTCCACAAAACTTAAGAACACCTCCATAAAAAGCGAGAAACAAATGGTCTTTGGGATTTCAGTTCTTTCCGCCAAAGATCAGTTGTCAACAAGGCAACAGCGTAAAATCATGAAGAAATCTGGCTCTAACATTCTTGTTTTCCTCTTACAAAGAGCTGTAGGGGAAACAGACTGCCAAACCTGCACCTAAAAGGGCCCGGCACGTTTGGGATGGCCAGGCAACCTGCACCCCAAACGCAGCAGAAAGTCGAGCGCTTCAAACGACGGAAACATCCATACAACAGTACGCAACTCTAGCAAAATGATTACATGCTGTTTTCCCTCTGTAGGATCCTTACCTCACCTACTGCAGTGACAGAAAATACGCAGTGAACACTCAGTTTTACGGAGTGAACTGAGTGTTCATTGGGTTCTGCCTCATTTCTTCAGACTGCAAAGTGACTGCTCATTCTTTTCATCCCCATCAGACAGCAGCATTCCCAAAGCCTCACTTACAGGTGTTAGCCAAAATAGCATTCCTCATTATACATCCTATATCATATATTACATATTATACATATTTAGATACATTATAACTATATATTATACAATTATATTATTAA